TGCTAACCAGAAGGCTGGCAGTTCAAACCCACCAGCCACTCCTCGGAAGGAAGGTTGGGCAATCTACTTCCATAGTGATACTGCCTCGGAAACCCAAGCTGGGGCTGACTCGACAGCACACAACAACAGGTTCATGCATAAAAATCCTAGTGCAAAGGAAGTTCTAGTACTGCACCTTGGGAAAAAAATCCTGTCAGTACTTACAAGGAAGTCACAGTAAATACCTCTTCTTCCATCCCTGAAGTCAACACAATAATGAGTATCAAAGTTGTGTCACTTTTAATATTCTTCAATATAAGCAAAGCATGATTCAGTAAAACCAGTTCTAGGAGTAACAAATGATATGGTCCAGGTACACTGCAAACACACTGCCATAGGGTTGATTCTGACTCACACTACCACTGTAAGACAGCATAGAGCTGCCACAGAGGGTTTCCAAGGCTGTTAAGTCTTTACGGAAGCAGACTGCCTCATTTCTCTCCCGTGGAGTGTCTGGTGGGTTCTAACCACTGACCTTTTGATTAGCATCCCAATGCTTTAGCTACAGTACTTCATAAATTTTATTTCCCCCAAACTTTTTATAAGCATTAGGTAGCAGAGAGTTCAAAGTCATAATCTAAGACAACAACTTAGTGTATAGCTGTTAATGTTGTTGCTAAGAACAGGTCTGTATATTTCAACCTATTCAAAGCAGTAAGTAAGCTAAGCAGTATTGGGGTTGATATACGTGCATGAAATCTAATGATCCCACTGAGGTCATCTGCCTGGATTAAACAAGTGCTTATTGGGTCTCTCAACATAAAAGGTAAGAAACTTACTGGGAATGCAATGGTAAACATGTCCCTCAATCTCCCAGCGCTTAGAGCTGTTGGGGACCACATACAATGTAATAGATAATTACAGCAATAATAAGGACAGTAATGACTGCCTGCTGGAGAACAATGTAACCTGGGAATCAAGTGTCAGAAAAGGCTTTTTCAAAGAAACCAATTTCTAAGCTGAGGCCTGAAGCAGGAATTAGAGGTTCCAGGCAGAAGTCAGCAGCAGTCCTCAGTCTCCTCTGGTCTCAGCTTCCCTAACCCAGCCATTCAATGATGGAGCTACTCAAGGATCACTCTTTCATCTACTTGAAGACAAGGCAAAACCATCTAATGCCTATGGCTTCATTTTTTTCTTACATGCTGATAACCAGGTAATGTGATGAAAATCATTAATGTGTCACTGTTCCCAAAGTGTTCTCTGACTGTCCCTAAGCCATGGAAAGAACATCTGCTTAATGGCTAGGTTCCTGGAGACCACCTCTTTGTCTCTACAGGCTGAGAAAACCAAAGAACATCCAGCATAATGGTAAAGATAAGTGGAAGATTCCCTTCTTGAATTAAAGACTAATATGGAGGCCAACCTGTGTGTAAGCACTTGAAATACCTGAGCAAAGCATGCACTTATCCTCAATCTTTTATTCTCTTTATCCTTTCAGGAGGCAGGAATCAAAATGAGACGGAGACTCTTCATGAAGCAGGATTAAGGTGCCTTTCACTGGGAGAGCTTTCATGCTGGCAAATCAGGGGACCTGTGAGCAAATTAACTAGAAGACAAGACTCCATGATGAATATTCAAGAAAAGGGTGCTCAGTGTTCCAAGCAACGTGATTCTCCCTGCCAAGCAGGGCCAAGAGTTTCTGAAGATGACAGCTATATAATGAATCTCATAGGGGATGATTCCAGTGTTACCAAAAATCAAGAATTTCCAAGTGGGAGAACTCAGAATTCTTGGAGTAAAATATATCTAAATGAGACCCAGAATTATCAGGGAAGTTGTACGCAAACTCAAATGAAAAGCAAATTATGTATATTTACTCCATGTGTTGACATTTTCAATTGCATTTCACACTATCATGACAATATAGCACACAAAAGAGATAAGGCTCATAATGACAACGATTATGGTAAGGATATCTCACCTCTTAACCAGCATACTATAATTCTCACAGGACAGAAAACGTACCAGTGTAATGAATGTGAAAATGCCTTCAGTGACCACTCCAGTCTTGAACTTCATCAGCAGGCACACTTGAGAAAGAAGTCCCCTACATGTAGTACATATAGAAAGGACGTCAGTTATGGCTCAGGTATTCCAGGTCAACAAAGTGTTCACAGAGGGAAAAAACGCTATTGGTGTCATGAGTGTGGTAAGGGTTTTAGTCAAAGCTCAAATCTGCAAACTCATCAGAGAGTCCATACAGGGGAGAAACCCTATACATGCCATGAATGTGGCAAGAGCTTTAATCAGAGCTCACATCTTTATGCTCATCTGCCTATTCACACAGGAGAGAAGCCCTACAGATGTGATAGTTGTGGGAAAGGCTTCAGTCGTAGCACAGATCTTAACATTCATTGCAGAGTTCACACTGGAGAGAAACCTTATAAATGTGAGGTGTGTGGGAAGGGCTTCACTCAGAGATCACATCTTCAAGCGCATCAAAGAATTCACACAGGAGAGAAACCATATAAATGTGGGGATTGTGGTAAACGCTTTAGCTGTAGCTCAAATCTTCATACCCATCAGAGAGTCCACACTGAAGAAAAACCTTACAAATGTGATGAATGTGGTAAGTGCTTTAGTTTGAGCTTTAATCTTCATAGTCATCAGCGGGTCCACACAGGAGAGAAACCCTATAAATGTGAAGAGTGTGGTAAGGGTTTTAGTTCAGCCTCAAGTTTTCAGAGCCATCAGAGGGTCCACACAGGAGAGAAACCATTTCGATGCAATGTGTGTGGGAAAGGCTTCAGTCAGAGTTCGTATTTTCAGGCCCATCAGAGAGTCCACACTGGAGAAAAACCATACAAATGTGAGGTGTGTGGGAAGCGCTTTAATTGGAGTTTGAACCTCCACAATCATCAAAGAGTCCACACAGGAGAGAAGCCCTATAAATGTGAGGAGTGTGGTAAGGGTTTCAGTCAGGCCTCAAATCTTCAAGCTCATCAGAGCGTCCACACTGGGGAAAAGCCCTTCAAGTGTGACGCATGTCAGAAACGATTCAGCCAAGCCTCACATCTCCAAGCCCATCAGAGAGTCCACACTGGAGAGAAACCATATAAATGTGACACTTGTGGGAAGGCCTTCAGCCAGAGATCAAATCTTCAAGTCCATCAGATAATTCACACTGGAGAGAAACCATTTAAGTGTGAGGAGTGTGGGAAGGAATTCAGTTGGAGCGCGGGTCTCAGTGCTCATCAGAGGGTCCACACGGGAGAGAAACCATATACATGTCAGCAGTGTGGGAAAGGCTTCAGTCAGGCCTCACATTTTCACACACATCAAAGGGTCCACACTGGAGAGAAGCCATATATATGTGATGTCTGTTGTAAGGGTTTCAGTCAGAGGTCACATCTTGTATACCATCAGAGAGTCCACAGTGGAAGTAATCTGTAGAAATGTGAGGTGTGGCATAGCCTTCAGTTAGAGTCCACATCTTCATCTCCACTGGAAAGTCCATACTGATGATGGTGGAAACTGACTCCTTGACAATTCAGAAGCTTCATCAAAGGATCTCCGTAGGAGAGAAGCTCTCTATATTGTGTTTTAAGGACTTAGTTGGAAGAGGAATTTTTTATAAACATCAGATTCCACAGAGAAAACTTACTTGTTTATAAATACAGTCAGTGTTTATGCCAAAGTTGAGGATGCTCCAATTCTCATTATAGACTCAGGAGAGAGGCCATATCAGTGAAAAATATGGGAAAGACTTTAACAAAAGTACAGTGATGGACAAAATTCTACTAGAATGTAGCATTTCCTTCCATTTAGAAAGGAACATTTTCACCACCCTGTCTCCACCATGTAGAACAAACTGCCTGACTTGGTCATGGGTAACCAGCAATTACTGAATAACATGGAGGAAGACCCTATAATTAAAACAAATACTTGGAATTTATAGTCAGTTCCCTATCCTAAATTTATTAAATTATACACAAAAGGAATCCTGCAAGTATCGTTAATATTAATTTCAAGAAATAAACATTAACTGAAACACAGAAGTCATATAGCACTGCTGTCCACAATAATACAGATTTGGGCAAAAGACTTTGAATGGCTTCCTTCATCCAGTTTCAGTTCTGTGTACAGTATCAATTGTGTACAGTATATTTTTTAATATCAGTTTGTATTTTATAGACTTTTTTTTTTACCAATATGATATTGCAATTTACACAATTGAATTTTTGGACTCAATTCATTAAGGTAGGGTTTCTTGTAACTCTTTGAAGTAGTTACTTAATGACAGAAATTTCTTAGTAAACTTGAATTGATATAATTGGTTTCTTCTCATTATTTCTACTCAGGTATAGGTTAAGTTGCCTTCTCTGCTGTAGTCCTCCATCCAGACATCCTAAGCCAGGGAAGTTGGCAAATTTCAGGGACACTAATTTTGTCACATGCTTCATCCCCACTGCCACCCCTCTAATAGGAAAAAAAGAAACCTACCAGATTTCAATGTAAACTTTAAGTGTAATGTCATTTACACAGCATTCTGTGATGAGCATCTTCTCTTGGTATGAGTGAACAACATGAGCTTTTTGAGATTAGTTGGTCAATATGTATAAAAATACCCCATGACCTGGTAATCCTAGCACCAGAAGTTATGCAGGAGATTATAGCAAAAGTGAGAAAGATTGTATGCAAAAATTAATAAAGGTAAATAAAAGGTTGGATAAATTTTGGTGTTTTCCAGTAACTTGCAGCAGCATATAGCCTTATAATGAAAGGAAAGGAACTCACATTCACAAGAAAACAAGGTTAGAGACTTCCTAGAACAATCTAAAAGGTATACCTAAAGATGTGATTATTTATCAAGATACCGTGTAGGATAGTCATCAATATGCTAACAGTAGTTTGCTCTTGCAAGGAGGGTTTTGGATGATTTTTCCTTTAACTTTTCAAAGAATTAATTACAATGAACATGATCAGTTTTACCGAAGCAGAAAAACCGAAACAAAATTACTGAATAAATGAAATCTCTTGTAGTAAACCTTCCTTGATGGGCATGTAAATCTGTATTATGGAAGTACAAAAAAGAATGTTCATTGTTACATTATTTGTAATGGTAGATTCTGCATTCATCAGTTAGGCATAAAACATTGTTTATCTTCAGTGGAATACTGTGCAGAATCAACTGAAAGAAGAAAAATTTATAGTTGTTGTTGACATTGGTAGATACCCTGGATATATATTTAGAAAAGCAAACAGAGACATGGGATTTCATTTACTACACGTATAATTACCTATGTGTGTAATATTTTTTTCTGAGCAGTAAAGGATCTGGTTACCTTTGTTGTTGTTGCTATGTGCCATTGAGTTGGACCAGACTCATAGTGACCCCTCCTTGGGTTTCTGAGGTGGTATCACTACAGAAGTAGATTTCCCAGCCTTCCTTCCGAGGAGTGGCTGGTGGGTTTGAACTCCCAGCCTTCTGGTTAGTAGGCAAGTGCCTTAGGCAGTATGCTACCAGAGATCCTTGCTTACCTTTAGAAAGGGATATTAAAGAATTTTGGTAATATGGTGGCATGAGCAGATCTAAGATCCTGGCCCTCCCACACAAGAAAAGCTAGTAGAAATCTGTAATCCCAACTCTAAGAGTTCTGAAAAGTGGGCACAAGATCAGAGAAACTAGCCTCACACTGAAACAAGGAAAAGGTGACTGTTAAAAAGTGGGAAAACCTCTTTGACTCCACTCCCAGTGCAACAGCTGAGTGGCTGCGGTAGAAGTGAACTGTGGCTCATGTGTTCACATAGAAAGCATCTGGGTGTCGGGCTCTGAGTGAGTAGGGCAGATTGTGCCAGGGATCTGTCCTGTGTAGCCTGTCTGGGAGCTGCCTAAAGGACTGAACCTTCAGTCTGGCCTAAATTGGAGCTCTCACAGGGCAGGGGAGGGAGCAGTGAGCTAAGACTGAAGGCTGTGCCTGTGTGAGAATTTCTTGGAGAAAGTAGCACTTTTGAAAACACTGTGTGTATATATATATATAGGAAGTGAGAAAGCTAACTGTCTTAGGCTCGGTTCTTTACAGTAGCAAAACCAGTGAATGAATATATAGATATAGAAAGAGAAATTTAGCTCAAGGAATGGGTCAAGTGTCAAACAGGAGGTTTCTCCTAACTTGCACACTTGCATGGGCTGAGGAATTCAAAACTGGCAGGCAATATAGCAAGCTGCTGGCTTCAGAGGATGACAAGTCCAAGATTGCAGGTAAAATGGCAGATGGTTGGCTCACAGGTTGTGATGGCAACAGTCCTAAGATCAGGAGGCAATACAGCAGGCCACTGGTTCACGCCCAGAAATCAAAGTTGATGATGAGCCAGATGCAGGATCCAGATCCACCAGAAAGAGAATTTTCCCAGGATGTTCATACATATCTTGGAAGCAGGCCACACCCCTAGGAAAACTCACTTTCAACTGACTGGCTGCTCATAGCACATCTCATGGAGGTGATTATATCAGGTGTCATCATGGCAGATGACTGCATCATAACTGCTAAACCACTGAGAATCATGGCCAACCAAGTTGACAAAAACCTTAACTATTGCACTAATCCATTGTAATATTCTAATGCTCTGGCTTCAACAACAACAACAAAAAAAAAAAAACAAGGAAATTAGAAACAATGACCCACTTAAAGAACAAGAAAGAGGGAAATTATCTCTGTGGAAGCCTGGATAATGTACAGGTTAGAAGACTTTAAAACACTATAAAACAACTAGACCTAACAGAAATGTATAGAATACTCCACCCAACTCCACAACAGACATTCTCTTCCAGTGCACATGGATCATTCTCCAGAACAGGCCATAAGCTAGGTCACAAACAAGTCTAAGACTTGTTTTAAAAGACTGAAATCATACAAAATATCTTCTCCAACTACAATGAAATGAAACTAGAAATTAATAGCAGAAGGAAGACAAAAATACATAAATATGTGGAAATTAAACAACACAATATTAAACAATGGATCAAGGAAGACATCAAGAAAGAAATCAGAAAATACTTAGAGTCAAATGAAAATTAAAGCACAGTATACCAAAATGTATGGGATGTTAGCAAAGGCATTGTTAAGAATGAAATGTATCACAATAAACATATTTAAAAAGATCTCAAATCAACAGCCTAACTTTACAACTTCAGGAACTAGGAAGAGAAGAGCAAAGTAAGCCCAAAGGTACCAAAGGAAAGAAATAACAAAGATCAGACTGGAAATAAAAACAGAAAATAGAAAAGCAATGGGTGGAATCAATGAAAAGAGAAATTTGAGGGTTTTTGTTTCTGAAAGATTGATGAATTCATAAAAGAGAAGATACAAATACCTCAGTCAGAAATAAAAGTGGGACATTACAAGCAATCCTACAGAAATAAAAAGTCATCATAAGAGTGATGAACATATAGTACTGTGTTGTTGGTGAAGGCAAACATGGGTATGGTGGATAGATGAGTGGACAGGCTGAACTAGTAGGCATGTCTGTGAACCGGGAAGTGTACCCAAGACCATGTATAGGGTTGGCAGAAAATGGTCCTATAAGTGTATTTATATGATCTATAAGAATTCCCAGGTGTATAGTAGAGCTGACAAGGGACAAGGTTGTAGTCACTTCTTGGTCACAGCCAGCTACCCAGAGGGACCTAGTAGTTGAACCTGTGGGCTCAGGACCATAGTCGCAGGGGACATCAAGCTCAATTGGCATAACATACTACACAAAACATTGTTCCACCTCTTACTCTGGTGAGTAGCAATTGGGATCTTAAAAGCTTGCAAGCAGCCATCTTACAATGATGGGTGTCTCCTCGTCCAGAGCAAAGAAGAATGAAGAAAAC